TGATCAGTTATTACTGTGTTATTCCTCTTTTGTCCTTTTGTTTGTCTGTCTATTCAACTATCTGTCCTTCTGTCCATCTATCCATCCATCTTTCTTTTTTCACATTATTTTATTGAGCCTCTATTTTGTTTTAAGGCATCGTGCAGGGCTTAGAAAAGCATGGGTGAATAAGACATGGATTCTACCCTTGTGTAGCTCATGTACAACCCATAATGTTTTTGTTTCACTCTGTGTCATGTGATTGAAAATAACAAAGTAGTATAAACTTCTTTTCTATAAATATTTAAAATTGCACAAATAAATTTCCATTAAGATAACAAAAATGAGTATTAAAAATTTTGATATAAAAGAAAAAATATATTGATTTTTAGTCCCAATTCTTGGCATAGAGTTCCTAAATCCTTTGGAATTTCCTAAGTGATATGAGCACCAGGATAATCATTTGTTCTGTTTGATCTTTAACCTTGGTTCCTGACACAGAGCTCTTAGATCCCTTGGAATTTCTTGGGTGATAGCAATGTCCTTTGTTCCAATGGGGTAACTGGGTGGGCTCCTACATAGCTTCAGGATGGTTACAAGCTTGGAATTTCACTTGGACAAAAACCCACACAGCTGGTATCAGAAGTGTTGTGAGTGTGGTAGTGATATAGGAAAGGAGTTTAGTAGTTTAGTAAAGCAAAACACAGGGAGTTTTTCTGAGATAAAGATTTAAAAATTTTCCTTTAAGTCTTCACCTGCCCAGACAAATCCTCTGCAGCCATCCTCTCCCTTTTAGTATCACAAGACTTTGGCTTCGGTCCTTGCATTTAATTTTTGACATGTATCTTGAGAGGTTTATGAAACTTCTCTGAATTTCGGTTTTCCCACTTGTAAAGTGGTGTTAATAAATACTATCCAGAGACATGAGGCAATAGAGTGAGTAAATGAAGGACTCTAGCACATATCAAATTCCTACCCTGGGTCAGGAATTTTCATGTGAGGTATGTCATATAATTCTTGACACAGCTTTGTGGAGTAGGCTTTCTTATCTTATCACAGACTCACTAATGAGGAAAGTAAAGATCAGAAGGCAAACAACACAGGTACCAGAGCTAAGGGAAAGGAAGTCCTTAACTGTCTGACTTCAAGGCTGTCTGTCCCATTTGTAATCAGACCACTGTGATCATGAATGTGAAAGCCTTTAATAGTATATTATTCCAATGTTGCTTATCTTATTTCCATATCCCCACTGGGTCAATTTCTTGTCATTGCCCAAGATGTTTCACAGGCCCAGCTGTGAATGTACTGGGGATATAGGATGGTGTGTACAGCTTGAGTTTAAAGTCACTAAGATCTTGGGTAACTTTCCTTTTCTTTAAAATAGGGTGATAATAGTTAACTTGTATGAGGATTATAGATAATGAATGAGATAATGTATGCAAAATGATTCACATTTTGAAAATAGATAGTAAATAGCAGATATTATAATAATTACAAATAAACTACCAGCCAGTAAGGATTCATATACTTATCTGATTATAAATTCTTAACATCTTGGTTTCCTTTATGTACATATCTGCCAGAATGCCTATTTTTATCCATAAGTAAATTATTCCCTATATGCCACATAAGTGGAAAAGTAGGAAAGTAAAACAAAGAAGATACTAGCCTTTAAATTTCGATGATATGAATACATATTTCAGTTTATTGACTATAGAAAAAACCCAACTCAGTGAATCATTTTTAGCACTAAGAATTTCTTAGTTTTTTTAAAAGTTTTTTTAATGTTTATTTATTTTTGAGAGAGAGAGATAGAGTGCAAGTGGGGGAGAGACAGAGAAAGGAGGATATAGAGAAACTGAAGCAAGTCCCATGCTCTGAGCTGTCAGCACAGAGGCTAACGTGGGGCTCGAACCCACAAACCATGAGATCATGACCTGAGCTGAAGTCGGAAACTTAACTGAGCCACCCAGGCACCCCTCTTACTCAGTTTTTATATGAAAAAACAAAGTTATTTTCTCTTGAAACTTATCAAAAAGAAGGAAAAGCAGGATATCCTAGTAGTTAAGCTCAGATTCTGGCTCTCTTGGCCTATAATGTAGGGTCAGTTAACTTTTCATCTATACAGTGGAGATAATAACGACATCTAATCATAGGATTGTGAGAATAAGTTAACTAATATGATATAGTATGCATATGGCACTATGAGTTGTTGAAAACTAATGAAAAAGTAAAATTTAGTTGCTAATTTACACACAATTTAGTGATCAGTAAGTAACATGAATGTTTTAGTTTGTTATCTTGGTTTTAATTCTGAAGATATAGTTTTTGAATAAATTAGAGAGTAAAGTTGGCAAATTAACAAGTTGATTTACATGAGTATTCAAAATGAAATTAAACTTTAAATCATCAATATTTATAAAGATTTGTCCAGGACTATCTTTTTCTCTAATGGATGATAATGAAGGGACACCTGGCACAGTCAGTTAAACGTCTTTGGCTCAGGTCATGATCTTGTAGTTTGTGAGAGTTCGAGCCCCACGTTGGGTTCTGTTCTGACAGCTCAGAGCCTGGAGCCTGCTTCAGATTCTGTGTCTCTCTCTCACTCTGCACCTTCCTCTCTTTTTCTCTCTCTCTGTCTCTCCCTCTCTGTCTCTCTCAAAAATAAATAAGCATTTAAAAAATTTTTAAAGGATGATAATGAAGAGGAGGAACCTAATTTTTACATTTATTAATAAGTAATATTGAAAATAATGAGCTGTAAGAGAAGAACAATGCCAGATTTCTGGGAACAGGACAGTAACCTTAGATGAGTCATTTGGTATTTTATCTTTTATACAAGAAATAATTGACATTCTTAAGGGAATGAATCACCCAGTTAATAAATTTATAGGAAGGAGTAGAGGTATGGATACTGCTAAAGGCAAATGCAAATGCGTACTCACAGCAAAATCCGAGCACTAAGCACTATCTCTGAAATGCAGAGAAGGTGGTCATGAAACAGAGAAGTAGCCAAGGTTCAATATAGGAGAAACAGCAAAGATATGAATCAAATATATTTTAAGAGGGTGTCCACATTATATTTCTTGTTAATAGGGAATCGTGAGCATGGCTATAAAACATATTATAGAAATACTGTAGGTGAAACAGAGGGTGTCATAGTAATTATTAAGCATTTGCTTTTCTTTAATCCTTAAGCTTGCCTATTAGTGTCACCTGCCATCTCCTGAGAATCTTCCAAGTCTTGGATGAGTGTTGCATGAAGTTACCGTAAAGAAACCATACATATTCACTTTCCCACCCTCTCTTTTCTTTACCAAATGTCATGGATATCCGGAACAATAGCACTGACCCTCAATATTACTCCTAAAAATTTTCCCCTTAAACCAAAAACATTTCTGTAAACACACAAATATTCATAAGAAAAGAGGACTTTTGCTATCTATAATCATGATATTTTTAAAAGAATAATTTTGGGAGTGTGCAATATGAAAGTTTGGAACTACTGCCTTAAAATATCATGACTTCCAGGACGCCTGGGTGGCTCAGTCAGTTAAGCGTCTGACTTCGGCTCAGGTCATGATCTCATGGTTTGTGGGTTTGAGCCCCACATCGGGCTCTGTGCTGACAGCTCAGAGCCTGGAGCCTGCTTCAGATTCTGTGTCTCCTCTTCTTTCTGCCCCTCCCCTGCTCATCCTCTGTCCCTCTCTGTTTCTCAATAATAAATAAATGTTAAAAAAATAAAATATAAAATATCATGACTTCCATAAATATGAAATATGCATTTTCAAATTCAATGAATTTTAGTGAATAAGCAAAATATTATGCTAGACATTTACATTTGTGTACTCATTCATTTTCTCAACAAATATTTATGGAGTGCTGCTCATGTGTGAAGCTTTGTAGACCCTATCTAAGGATCTCAGTGACCCTTTAGCAATTCGCTACAGGACTGGTACAGATATATATTTTATTAGTGGGGAAGGAAGCCCCATGGAGTGCACTAACTTAGTGGCTGATCTCTTAAATTTCCTGATTTCCTTAATGGCTGATCCCATCTCTGAAATTTCCAAGTAAAATCCTTGCCACCTAGACAGGCTGTGAGAGTGTGGGAATATTGGACTTACAGGTTGTGGACGGCAGCTCTTATACTCCATCATCATACAGCTCCATAGATCCAAAGAAACCACTTAACTTCTGTTCCCCTCAGATTCCTCACTTTAAAATGGGAGTTGACAAAACCTATTCTGATCTCACAAGGGTGTCCCATTAAATGAAATGACATGTAAAAATGATTTGAAAATGGCATAAATTGAAGCAATGGTGAAGTATTATTGTCATCATGGATGTTTACAATCACTGCTTTAAATCCATATGAAGTTATTCCAAGGAATTTTATATTTTCCTCTCCTTTTGCTCTTTTGTAAAACAAAATGAAATAATTCAGAGTTTTTGTTATTTGTTTTTGTTTTAGTATTTAATAGGGGAGTTTTAGGGAATAGACAGGTTTGGGTCTCCTCTCTCCCTTCTTCACACAGAATTCCTAGGATTTCTATGAAGACATGTGTCTCTGCAACTATGAACCTCCCAATCCATATTAATTCCCAGGACTGACTATAAGGTATAAGGAAATGCAACAAAGCAGAAAATGCTATAGTAGGTAACTTTAGTCAGATTGCTTAAAGGGAGCTTTCCTTAAAACAAAGGAACACCTTCCTCACCTCCCCAAACCAGATTCAATCAGAACATAATGTAATACAGTTTTTCATTAACTTCTAAAATCCCAACCATTGAAACTCGCAACATGAAATAATGCTAAGAATGATTTTTAATATAAAATATTGATTTCAACTATCAAGATTAATTAATCCAGCTGTTATAATAGTTCCAGAAATCTCATAAATCCATGCAGATTGAACTCACTGAGAACATCTTACAGGCAGTGCTCTGACATTCAGGGAATCTAGATACTGACAGACGGTAAAGCAAATAAGTCATTTGCTAAACAAAACTAAACTTACCGATACATCATCTGCAGGAGGAAGAATATGGTCTTGAAGGTCTGCACCCACTGAACTTGACTTTCTAATCAACTGCATGTCATCTCTAGATGTATTAGAGGTCTACGGCTGGAAGAAATTAAAACAAATTACAAATAGTTGAAATGAAACTAGTTAGACAAGTCTGAACAGAGAAGCCTCAACCCATAGGAGTGCTTGAAGAAAACAGCCCCAGAGATAGCATAGTCCCAACAAGAAAGCAACATATTTTCTTTTGGTATTGACTAATTTTGTTAAAGGAAGAGAAACTGGTTGAGAGGATTTGAATGAGAAGTACCTTAGGAATGAGCAAGGATTAAGAATTTAAAGAAGATTATTGGTAGGTATACAAATACCTTAAGGAAACCTTCGCATAAAAGCTCTTTATAAAAACAATCAAGTATCCTTAAAACCTAGATTCATAATATAATTTAAGAAATAGTGTTTAATTTTTTAACAGCTATCTCCATGTATGAGGGGGTATAGTGAATTTAATAAATAATTGTTTTTCTTTTAAAAAATACCTACCTCTGAGAGTACATAATAAATTCATATCAAACCAGATTTTTTCCCTAAAATGACTTAATGTAATATATGCACATGCTTTAATTTTTATTTATGTAATATGAATTACAAATATGTTTTCTCTATATATATATAGATAGAGAGAGTAAGAGAGACACATTTATCAGAATGAAGAAAACAAAAAAGATCAGTAAACAATATTTTAAATAAACTTTTAATCAGACATGAATACCTACCTGCTTTTTGTGAATACTGAAACGTCAGAAATTAAGCTGAAGCTCTTTGATCACATTGTGATCATGGCTCCTTTCCCTCTCCTCAGAAGCAATCAATGTTATTAAGATCCATCTTCTTATAAAGCATAATAAGCATTTACACACAAACAGATACACACAGATATACCCATAGAAAAACATATATGAATGTTGATTAAACAGTATCATATTATATACATCCTTGTGCACTTTGGTTTTTCTTCCCTTAATATTCTATGTTGAGAGAAATAAATTTACCTTATCTTTTTTAACAGCTACATGCAGTATGAATATTCTTAGTGTTTAGCTTTGAGTATAATCTTACAACCAAATGATACTCATTTAAAGGGAAACACTACTTTAAATGAAAATTTAGTGATCACTGCTTCTAACACTTAGGGAAAGTACCATTCAAAAGAATATTAGTACTGTAGAATGCTTTAAGTGCATAGACTCAAGAATCAGAAGCAGGGTTCAAATCTTAGCAGTTTCTATCTATAAAATAGAGGTAATACTAGTGACTACCTTGTAAGGGTTTTTTTAAATATAAATATGTCAACATATATAAAATACTTACAATAATACCTTGTGCAATGGAAGCACTATATAAATATTAACTTTTAATATTAAGATCTTAGTTTATTTGCATATATTTTCTTACTGTTTAACAGAGAAACACTTTGTGAAGCTCATTCTACTGAACTATACAAGGAGCACACATAGTTACATTCTTCCTTTCCATCTTTTCCCTGCTTTTTCTCTGACATAGTGCTCCATGGAATAGTCAACAGTGGCATGGACTTAGAATGGAAATCTGTTTTTTTTTTAACTTTTTAAATGAATATTTGTTTATTTGGGGGAGGGGTGTGCAGAGAGAGAGAGACAGAGAATCTGAGGCAGGCTCTGTGCTATCAGCGCAGAGCCTGATGTGGGGCTCAAACTTATGAATGGTGAGATCATGACCTGAATTGAAGTTGGGCACTTGAAGGACTAAGCCACCCAGGCACCCCTAGAATGGAATTCTTACTCCTTGGTGGTTATGTGACCTTGGACAGACTACTTTAACCTTTTGAGCATCAATTTCCTCCTATATGGAATGAGCTGATACTATTTATGTGCAGGGCTTTCATCAGAATTAAAATGACATGGTGTATATAAAACTGCCAAGCACAGAGTCTAGTAATAAATGTCAGCTTCCTATATTGTGTGGCAGAGAGCCTGGTAAACAAAGCCCAGACACTGGAGGGCTGCCTGTAAATCCAGGCTTCCCTAACACAGCTGCTGCTTGACCGTTCTGCATCTTAGCTTCCTCATCTGTGCACAGAATTAACAACAGCTTCGCAGACTATTGTAGAAATTAAATGAGAGAGTACATGTAAAATGCTCCCCATACTGTGTGCTATATACACTTAAAAACTGAACGGTGAACTGTGTTAAGATAAAATGGTGACGTCTCTGAATGTCAGCACAGCAGAACCTGGCAAGCCGTTCGCTCAGAACTCCTCTTTTGGCCCTGACTCCTCATCTGACTCCTCAGCTTTCCAGGTCTTTGTTTATGAGAAGGTGGAGGAATAATGGCTGAATATGAAGATAAATTCCATAATTGGTAGTGGGAGTTCACTAAGCTGTAGGCTAACAGAAGACAATATGGCAAAGCAAACAAGAAGCAAACAAGGAGTACACAGCTTGAAACAAATAAAGCGAGGACCAAATTTCTGTCTCACGAACTACAGCTTTGAGTAAGTCGTTTAACTTTCTGAATGTAATTTTCCTACTCTGAGATTGATAATATATGTGCAAATTAAATGAGGTTACCTCAAGGACATTGTGTTGAGTAAAAGAATCCAGACTCAAAAGACGACATGTTGTGTGATTCCGTTCATAGGCTGTTCTAGAAAATGCCCAGCTTCTAAAGATAAAATCAGAGTTTCCAGCACCTGGTAGTGACAGGGAAGCATTCACAAAAAGGAAGTTTAGGAGGTGGGGGAAAATGCTTTATGTTTTGTGGTGGTGGTTATAAGTTCAAAGAACTTATTTGTCAAAGTTCATAGAATTAGTCACTAAAAAGGATGAATTTTACTGAATGTAAATTATACCTCAATACAAATATATAATCAATATAGAAAAACAATTTAATGAGACTTAATAATTATAAATAAACAGTATTTATCAAGGGCCAGGCATTACAATCAGTGCTTAATACTTCATAACAAATCTTTGGGATAAAAATTAACCCCATTTTACAGAAATAGAAACTGGAACTCATACATGTTAAATAATTTGCCTAATCTCACATCTGAAAGTGGTAAAGATGGCATTTCCCCTCTCAGGTATCTCTGACTCTAAAAGGCCCTGACCTTTATCAGTTAGATCTACTTTATGAATGACACTTGATACAAATCTGGCCCTTAAAAATAGTTTTATTATTTTCCCATCACTAGCTGATTACAGAAGCTGGAGTAAGAGGTAGCTGTCCTTGGCCACTATTCTGCTCTATCTTTTACATCCAAGCCTAATTCCTCTAATGTGACAGGAAAGAAGATGTAAACTGTTAGGATTGTCAATAATCACATTTTTGTATGGATGAAATTATCTTTTGTTTCATTTTAGGCATCTACATAAGTAGATCTCAATAATTGACTATATCAAAAGATTGTATACAGTCAGTCATTCATGTCCAAACCATTACTGTTAAAGTTGGAGGGGTGCCTGGCTAGTTAAGAGTTTGACTCTTGACCTCAACTCAGTTCATGATCTCACAGTTTTGTGAGTTCAATCCCCACATTGGGCTCTGTGCTGTCAGTGCAGAGCCTGCTTGGGATTCTCTTCCTCCTCTCACTCTCCCCTTCCTGACTTGAACTGTCTCTCTCAAAATAAATAAACATTAAAAAAAAATTTTAGGTTGCAATTTGTCACAAAAGTACTCTAAGTACTAAACAAAGTTTGTCAGTGTAACTTAAATTGCCATGCCACTGCTTTGCTATTGTCTTCTATTGTGGTAGTAAATGATAAAAACCTTATAGTGCATAAGGATTATTCATGAGGCAATAGGAATATAACTTCTGTGAGTGAATATTTTTCTTCAACTGCTAAGAAGTTTTCTTTCTGCTAAGAAGAAATTGCAAAACTGATGCCAACTGACAAACAAGGGTTGTCATGTAGAGAATGATCAGGAGGAAAACACCCAATAGTTTAGGAGTCATTGCACCTAGGAGCTCAGCCTCTATGTGTTGTGGTTATTTCAGAGAAGCTTAGTGTGTTAAACATCATGACATTCAGTAATTCATTCAATAGGTATTTTCTCCATTCCTACAATGCCCCAGGATATATTTTCGGTACTTGGAGATTAGAGAAGTTAAAAAAAAGATAATCATTGAAATCATTTCTTTGCATACATCATCAACTCCTTTACTCTGTTTGCACTTTGTGCTATCTTGATGAAAAGATAATCTTGGATAAACCCAAGTTTCCATGATTCTTTAACTGTTCTCTTGTGCAGATAAACAGGCCAACCAGAGAAACACAAACTGATCTAGTTTTAAATTCTTGTGCATGATCCTAAAGTGTGCTCCTGATGCTGGAGGGAGTCATTTTACAAGCCATTCACTTTCCTACACTTCTGGACAATTTCTTACCTCTATTTTTCCTCAAACCCCTTCACTGATGCTTCCATTCTCAATTTTAGCAGATGGCCTTGCTCCCTACATCACTGTTTTGGGTTTTTGAAGTTGCTGCAACAAATTACCACAAATCTGGTGGCTTAAAATACAGTAATTTATTCTTTCACAGTTCTAGAGACCAGAAGTCAGAAATTAAGGTGTCAGTAGAACCACACTCCCTCCAAAGGCTCTAGAGAGAATTGCTCCTTACCTCTTCTAGTTCTGGTAGCTCCAGGAGTTCCTTAGCCTGTATCTGGAAACTCCAGTTTCTGCCTCAGTCTCGACACATTGTCTTCTCTGTTCTGTGTTCCCTCTTTTGCTGTCTCTCTCCTGGTCTTTGTTGTGATAAAATACACATTTCACACAAAAATAGAAGATGGCAGAAAACTTCCAAATTCCTTCTATGAGGCTAGCATTACCCCAATTCCAAAACCAGATAAGGACACAACTGAAAAAGAACTACAGGCCAATATCTCTCATGAACATAGATGCAAAAATCCTCAACAAAATATTAGCAAACTGAGTCCAACAATACATTAAAAAAATTCATTCATCATAACCAAGTGGGATTTTATTTCTGGGATTCAAGAGTAGTTCAATATTCACAAATCAATCAATGTGACGCATCA